CACGCCTTGTTGTGGCTCAAAATGTATCTATTATAAATGTATAACACTTCCCCCGTGGGGGAAAATTTTTCGAAAAATTTTTTCTTAGTGTACATTCTCTTGACGTACCCTATTAAAACGCAATCAAAAGCGCAAAAACCCGCATCTAAAATAGTATAATAGAAGCCAAGTTTTTCACAGTAAGCCTTAATCCTGTCCCTCTCCCCCGCGGGGGGAATATCGAAAAATCCCTTCTTAGTGTACATTCTGTTGACGTACCCTATTAAAATGCAATGAAAAATGCAAAAAACCGCATCTAAAATAGTATAAATAGAAGCAGAGTTCTTTACACTAAGCCTTAATCTTAACTATCTCCCTTCAGTGGGGGGAATTTCGACATGTATATTATATAAAAACACGTGTGTATTCAAATGCAGCATTGTGTCAAAATTTCAAAGGAATCAGTAGGAACAAACGAACATTACATTTTTATTTATGTAGATAGATAGAAGATGATCTGCTTTAGTTCATTTTCACAGAAAAGCATAATGCCTCACAGAAAAGCAAACTTAGGGCGTCGTACTCATAGCGCCATCTGTTGGACATAAAAGCCTTAACCTAGATGATATCTTTTAATTTATATGAATGTTTAAAGGAATAATATACAGCCTATGTCCACCATGAAGTTCCATTCTAAATATTGGTGAAAGAATTTTTGAAATCGAATTGGTAGTTTCGGAGATTACCTGCTACATCCAAACTTACTTACATACTTACAAACATTACCTCTTTATAATATTAGTATAGATGTAAGCTTAAACAAAAATTACATTTTTGAAACATGCACATTTTAGAAATGCAGTCTTTACATAAATCATGAATGCATTATATATTTATCAAAACAGTCATCATATTTAAACAAAAATGACATATCTGAACTGAAGTGACTGAAATGTTTATGATAAATTTCAAAGAGTGTAAAGTGAAAAGATGTAAAGATTTGACCACAGATTAAAAATTTTTTATATACTTATTTACTGTTATATATTTTACACTATTAATCATTTTAAGTGAAATGAATAAACAATGTTTATATAATTCTTAAAAGTCCTAATTTTATTATTTTTGCAGATTTCTTTCTGTTCCTATTTGTTATTGAAGTGATTTCAGTAACTAAGAAATTTCAAGATACAGGTGACTGCAAAAATAAATTGCTTAACACAATTCACAACAAATGATGTTAAACCATTCAGTCTGATAAAATGCACTATATCAGTCAAATATAAAAGCTAAATTGGAATTATGCTTTGAATAAATTTATACATTTTAATTCTTACAGAATTTTCTAACTTTATTACTTTAAATCTATACTAATATTATAAAGAGGTAAAGTTTGTAAGTTTGAATGTAGGAGGTAATCTCTGAAACTACTCATCCGATTTCAAAAATTCTTTCACCAATATTTAGAATGGACCTTTAGGTTGGACATAGGCTGTATAATTATTCCGTTAAACATTCATATAAATTAAAAGATATCATCTAGGTGCATGTTATATTTTTGGTTGCGAGGGGCAAGACGTGTACATATACAAGATGGGTAACTGCGCGGTGCAGTCATGTGGTCAGTGAGATATGAAGTGCACTTGTCCGAACTTGTGATATATAAAATTACATGTCCTGACTGATTCATCATCTCTCAGAGCAAACCGCTGAACCTAAAGAGGTGAAATTTGGTATACAGTTAGGGTACGTCATGAAAATGCATACTAAGAAGGGATTTTTCGAAATTCTCCACAGTGAAGAGGGAGAAGATTAAGGCTTAACCTGAAGAACGTCTTCTACTGTACTATTTTAGATGCAAGTTTTTGTTTTTATAGTAACAACTAATGTTGAGAATTTTAGTGAAGTATCAAGGGAGGGTTATTTCTATCAAATTGCAAATTCTGCATGGGTGAAGCTGCGGTAACAGCTAGTAAATAAAAATAAGTCCACTTTTATCTGTCCAGCAAACATACATATATGGTATCCTACTGTTTAATATTGGAGGTGATATAAGTATGTCTTCACGCGCTATTGACAATATATGAATTTTTCTAGAATGAGACTTAAAAAAATTAAATATCTAAATTTAATTTAAATGAAAAATAAGTTTAATTTTAACTTTTATGCTTGATTGATATTGCCTAGATAGAGAAGTTATTATCTAGGTGATATCAATCGAACATAAATATTTCAATATAATAACATAAAAGTCAGATTCAACACCAATTGGCATTTGGTAGCAATTTACATTTTTTGTCTCCCTGCCAAGAGAGTAATAAAGATAAAACTTTTTTAAATTAAGTTTTATGTCCTTTCTTATCACTGCCACCTTGTGTTTTGCATAGTGAACCTAATATTATGCTTGTGGCAAAGTATATATAGTTTATGATGTATGCTATTGATTTACTTTTAGAAGCTTTAAATAAATCATTTAAAATTAGCATGAAACTTTATTGTATAAAGTTTCATGCTAATTGGTTCCTTTTTATAATTTTTTCGTTTTATATAATATATTGTTGTAAAATTTAATATATGAGGGAAAAATCAAAAAGTCTTGCCAACTGCATTTTTCCTTAAAAATAATTACATTTCTCAAAATTTCAAAATATATGTGTTAGAGTGCAGTTCTCTCTGTGTTGTCTTAGCAATTTCCAATGCTGTCTGATGAGATACTGTGGAAATATGGATGTTTGAAAATGGTGGATGTCAACTTCCATACTGGAGGAACTTTAAGTGTGATTTGATTTTTATGAGCATCTGGCAAGAATACAAGCAAAATTTATCAAGAAATGAGTACTTGTATATGGACAATTGTCTATCATACAATGTGTGAGTTGATGGTGTGAGAAGTACAAAACAGAATGATAAACATTCAGGATGATCAGATCAGGCCAGTTTTCATCATCTGCCATACAGCCTGAACCGAGAATCTTGTGATTAATCATCATTTTGACCTTCTCAAGAATCAGAATGGCAATATGAAGACAGCAGTTCAACTGCGACTGCATAAGCAATTGGACACATTGTGTGGGAGAGAGATCCAAAATCTTGTGCCACAATGGGAAATCTTTTTGAAGAAATTTTTGATCATGTCTTGGAAACTAAGTAGAAAAATAGGATATAAACTGGACTTTCAAATGTATATTTTGAAATTCTGAAATATCAACCAGATTTTGAGAAATCATTGTTGGCAAAAGCTTTTTGATTTTTACTCATATAAAAAAATATTATTGACAGTATTGGTGCTATTACAACATATAAAATATTATATTAATTTTACTAGTGTTATTTCAGCAACCTGTTACTGCTGTTTTGCCAAACTTATCACAGTGACTTTGATATATTATAACAATCTTCATTTATTCTTTGTAAGTATCTTTAACAAAATGCATTTCACACTTTGTTAAAGGTTTGTAAAAATAATAAAAGAAGAGTGGTATAATATATTGAAGTTGTGATAAGTTTGGCAAAACGGTAATAACAGGTTGCTGAAATATCACTTTAGTACAATATACTAAACAAGAAGGTTTTTTTTTTTTGCACTTCTTGATTCATTTCTCAAAGAATGCTTAATTTTTAGGACGAAAAGTGAGTATGAATCCTGATAAGTAAACATGCATAAGATTTGAGTACAATAAATACCATTTTTTGAAAATTTAATTTAAAATTTCATTAATAACTTATTTACATGTTTGCAATACATATCCAAATTATCTAGACTACCTACAGTAAAAAACTTTGGTTATCTAGATACAAAACTTTACTGACAATTTAGCTCTACCTTTTCTTATAACTCACTTCCAATTGTGATCATTTTTAAATTATTGGTTTCTTTTATTATGATATTGACATCTTTTGTTACATGGTTTTTTCATCATTAGCATTTCAAGTTTTAATTCTATTAAAACTTGAAATTATAATAGCCAGTGTAAGCAACCTATTTAATATATTATGCATTTCAAATTGCTAACTAAAATGCTTAATCTAGAAAAGGATGAAAGGTTTTATTATCTAGTAGGAAATTAAATGTTATTCTCAGTCTGTAGTTATCTATAGCTGGTAGTTTTGCATGCTACTTGTCTTTTCTAATTTTTAATATGAAAGATGAAAGATTTGAGAAAGCCAGTCTGGTAATTTGACAAGAATTAATCCTCAAGATATGTATATTGATGACTTAAGTTTTATCATCATCAATAAATTTAATTTTTAATCATTACTTTATGATAGAATCAGCCACTGTTTTGTAAAATGCTAAATATTGGATAGCTTGTGCAAATAAAAAAATTTTTTTTATGTATTTAGATAACAATGCATGAAATATTGCTTGCATTATATCTGAATTTAAGGATTTTTTTTTTATATTACATGCTTAAAATTGTCACCCTTTAAATTTAGTGTTGAAAATTATTTAGAAACATTTTGATCTTTGAAGTCCAAATATCCTCCCAGAAAATTTTTGATTTGAAGTGGATTATTATTGAATTAGAGAATCTTAAGATGATGATAGTTTGTAATTTTTAATTAATTGATTTTTTGATGCTTGAAAAAACTATTCTGCCAATTGTACCAATCATATTTATATTTAAAATGTTCGTTTTAAACATTTTTAAAATGAAAAAATTTTTTAAAGTAATTGATTTCTATAGTTAAATATATAAAATTCTATATATTTAAGAAACAAATTTGCATCACTCTTTATTATAAAAGTTCTGTCATACTAAACTGTATTTATAAAACTATTTTAGATCTGAAATTGAAATTAGATATAGAAGAAGAAGAAAAAAAGATGCTAGCATCTCAGATTGATGAAATGAAGGTTATTTTTCAAATTTATTATTATTTATGAAAAAAGTATTTATGTAAGAAAAAATAATCATTTATTTAAATAATTTAGTAATTATATTTATCATTAAAATTTAATATTTTAAAATAATAGAAAACACACAAGCAAGAAATTTCAAATCTACAAGAAGAAATTCATAAGGTTAGATTATTTTAAATGTACTTCAATTTAATAATTTTATTTTATTAAATAATTTATTTCCTAATGTTCTAATATTAATAAAATTATATGTCAAATAATAATAATTGGTATGCCAATTGATATAGAAAAAATTGAATTTATGTGTACTACTTTTTCAATAATTTCAAAAATAATTAAAATATTTGGTAATTTTAGATATATAAAATAATAATCAAAATTGTTTACATAATTGTTACATTATTACCTGTATTCTTTTTCAGCTCACAGATAAATTAAGAAGGAAACAAGAAAGGTAATTTTTTAGTCACTAATGTTTTGTCTTTTCTTATTTAAAATACTGATGATTATTGTTTACAATTTCAGCATTGTTCAATTACAACAGGAAAAAGAACAACTTTATACTGAAACTAAGTAAGGAAACTTAATTTTACTCTGAAATAAAATATTTTTATTGGGCTGCAATTTTAAATTTTCACTGGTGTCCATCTGTCTGTCTGTCCTTCCTTAATCTCAAGAATGGAGTTAGATAGATAAAAGCCAAGACTAGATACAGAAAACTTAGGAGCCAAGGACCAATTAACTGTATAAAAACTTACAGTTTTGACTGAAAATCATGTTATTTCAGTTCAAAAATTTTCTTCAGAACAGAGTTAGGTAGATGACTGGTATGACTGTCTTGTTAGCAGGAAAAGTATGATGTACAGGGGCAATACCACTAAAATGAAGAGCATTATGCATTGAGATATAAAAAATTGCAGCCCAGTACTGTGAGGATGTCACAATAAATAATTGTTTGTTATCATTTTAATACTATCAAAATCATTATTAATTAAAATTTTGAAGATATTTTTCAGAAATTTTTAAATTATAATTTAAAATTTAGATTGTAATAACTTCAATATTAAACACAATAGAAGAGGTTTGTAGAATGAACAGCATTTTAATGAACTTTCTAGCTTCCCACATATAAAAATTACTTTTATAGAACTACAAATATATTATTACTAAAAAATGAAATACTAAAATTAAATTGACTATAAAAGTAATTTTTGTATAATATTGCTTTTTTCTATTAGAATAAATTAAAATCAGTCATTCAAATTGTTTATTAATAATAAGGTTAAATTCCTGTTACAGGGGATTATACTTTGTTTTATTGTTTTATAATAGTTTTACTATCAAAAAGTAACCAATGTAAATTTATATAATTAGACTATGCAATAGTATTGTTTAATATATAAAAGTTATTTTTACTCCTTATTTCCATTTATATTTTAACAATACATTTGAAAAAGTTGATTTAAATTATACATTTTAAATCAATTTTAGTCAGTAGTCTTTAGATAGATTTTAATTGTAATATTTAAAAAATTTTATTGATTTTGTGCATCTTAGAAAATTGTTCAGTCTGTTAGGAGATGAATAACAAACGATACTTTTGAACTGCACTAATAGCAGTGATCTGTTGAAAGACAATACATACACTGAAAAAATTCTCACTATTTATAAACAATCTTAATTGTATTAACAGCATTTTTATATTTATTCCTATGTTCATTGGCAAACAGTTAGATCTTGAAGGAATTTTTAAGGTATTTTAATAGCACAACTGATTGAGCTAAGAAATTTTGTTTGTTTGTTATAGATCAACAAAATGCTGTTTCCACCAGTTGTGTAAATCTGTATTTCCAGTCATCCTTCAAATTTTCAAATAATTCGTATGAAATTCCAAAAAAACTGTAAAATAATAATAAATTTTAACTGCCAAAGATGTTTTTATCTTTTTCATTTTATCACATTGTTTCAATATAGTCTAATGAAGAAACTTAATATTTTCATAGTTATTGTATTTCAGAAACTTTTGTTTCAACACTAAATAATCTGAAATTTCTGATAATTATAATTTATTTTTTGAAAAAATAAGGGTTTGGAACTAGTTTTTTGATAAGTGCCAAAAATGAAGTACCAAAACTTACAACTGTAAGAAAATGATCTACAGTAGAGCATCGATTATCTGACCCCCGATTAACCGTCACATCGGTTAACCGACCGTTCTAGTCCGAAAATTTCAAATGTCCGCTAGTGATGTGTCACTACAATATTTAGCTATGTCTTGGCTACTTTAATATTATTTTTGTTAAATTTTTGCGTGTTTTAGCTGGCAACAACAGCTCGACCATAGAAGGGAAGTCAGTATTTAAACGAGACTTAATTTTCTAATTATGAGTGGTTGTTTGTTTTGTGAGCAAGAAAATAATTTAAAAATAATTTTTAACGATACAATAGTGACGATTATTTTTTAAAAAAATTTGTTAGGCTTAACATCAATGAAAATTCAATGCAAAGTTGGTTAATAGCGATATACTAATATACTAATTACATGGGATATACTATACTAATAATGTATTTTTTTCATTCTTTTTGGTTATCCGACCAACCTGAGTCTCCAATTGAGTCGGATAATCGATGCTCTACTGTACTACATTACAACTTGAAACTCTAAATTTAGTACATGAGTCAAGCATTAATTCAGAATAGATATAAGTCTATAACTGATCTTCCATACAAGTAAATTTGGATGAACAATCATTCTGCATACAATCATTTAAATATATATAGTTGCAAGTCATGAATTTGCTTAGTTCATTATGTATTTATCTTTAGATTTGTGAATGTTGAATATTAATTCATTTGGTCCATTATACCAATTATGTAATAACTGCACAACTCTTGAATTAAAATCTCCCAAAATTAATATTAATATGTTAGAAGACAGATGTTTCCAGAAATCTGTGTAATCTGTCTTTTAGTAGTTCTGAATGATCTGGAGGAATATATACCAACATTATTATTATTAATTTATTGTCTAGGAATTTCATTTCCTTCTTGTTAATTTGTAATAATATTAATATAAAATGATTGGAGTTTTAAATTTTTTTTGTGGTTTCTATTTCTTTCTTGATTAATATATGTAATGTTCCAGGAGGACAATCAGGTCCTAAAGATTTCTGGACTAGTGTTGATTCTATTATATATTTGTTGCTAATTTTTAAAACTATTAATTTATTATGTTATTCTGTTTCAGACAAAAAGTTTCATATGTAATCAGTTATTTTATTTTTTTATCATTGGCAGTTTCAATTGGTTACTACAAGATTTAAATTTTTTGAAGAATTGTCATTCAATATATAAGGAAAGGGTCAGATGTTTGAGTCTCCAATTTGGTCAAAACTTGGTGAGTATGTAGCCGTCAACACAAACAGTTTCTTGTCGAAATGATAGAACCCATTTCACAAGCACTTTCAAAAAAGGGCCTCTGAAAATTGAGTTTTACCTTATAAAGCTTTGGAATGTCTCCTTTAAACAGCGATAGTTGAATAGACAAGACACAGGAGTGACACAATGTAGATTTGAGACTTCACAATTTTAGTTGTTTTTTTTTTTCTTCTTATGTGAAACAATTATTTTATTATTTTACTGTATCATTAGAATTATTATTACTGTTATTTCTCATGTTTAAAGCTTATAAAACAAACTAAAGTAGATGTGAAAAATTGGAAAAATAAGCTTTAGACATCACTGTACATGGACAAAAAAGATGAATTATAAAAATAGGGTAGCATAATTGTAGAATTTTTTTATTGTTAATGTTATGAACCATTTCCTCATGTTCTCATGTTTATTTGAAGTGTAAAACTTCAAATATAACAATATCACCAAATCTGAAAAAAATATGAAGAAATAAATGTTTTATTTAATGATACAAAAGAATTAAATCTACAGAAAAGCTTATCTTAGAGAAGAAGTTTTAGGCATTCATTGATATAGTGCTAGAATATATTAATCTTCACAAGAGATGATGATAAATATAATGAGCTAAGATGATAGTTGTCATAAAAGCATGGGTTACAAAAAAGTATTGTAGCATTGTGTGCATCCAAAAAAAGCTGTTTTAGAAAAAAAATTACAGCTTTACTATCTCATTTTCATAATAGACTTGTCTTTTTCATCCATGCTCTGTAATGTCCAAGTTTATTTGCTCTTGCAGACACATTATATGTATTTTTAAATCCAACTTTTTTATAAGCTTTAAACATGAGGAATAATAACAGTAACAACAATACTAATAATACAGTAAAATAATTATGTTACACATAAAAAAAAAAAAAGAAAACAGAACTAAAATTGCAAAGTTTTGAACATGCAGTGTGTTGCTCTGGTGCTTAGTGTCTTGTCCACTTAGCTATTACTACTCTGAGAAAATGTAAAACTTCCAAAGCCTTATAAGCTAAACACAATTTTCAGAGGTCTGTTTTTCAGAAACACTTGAGAAGTGTGTCCTATTATTTGAACAAGGAAAGGAGTTGCTTGTGTTAATAGCTACATTCTCATCAAGTTTTGCTCTAATCAGAGACCCAAACATTTGACCCTTTCCTTATTAATATCACATAAGTTTAAGGTATTGAATTTTGTAAAGAAGAATTCAGTAAAAATTAACCAGTTGTGTTATTATGTGTTAACCAGTTGTCTTTCTATAAAATTATAATTTTTGAATGGTTCAATACTAAGTAATTATTACAAAGTTTACTTTTTATATCTTGTTTCTTTAAAGAAGTTATAGAAAGGGAGAAGTGATTTCCATCTTTCACAAGAATTTTTAACTAGGACAGCTAACATATCCATCTTCTGCAATTCATCCAGTTGCTTTTGTTTTATTTTAATAAAAGCAGAAACTATTTTATTCTGTATTTGATCTGACTGCAGTGTTAAGCATATAGCACAATTTGTTGAGTTAGGTATATGGAATTAATTCTTAATTTCTTCCAAAGTTAAATTTTCCAATTCCAAAATATTAAATCTTTGTAGAGAACTTTGATTTGGCTCAATACTAAAAATTATCAATAGCAATAGAATAAACTTATTTTTATTTATTTTAACCAAATTATTTATGACATGATATTTTAATCAAAATTGTCTTCAGACTAAAGCTTTCAAAAAAAAAAAAAAAAATCCCAGTTATGGCAAAGAATCGAATTATTCCAGAATAAATTAAAATTTCTCACTTGCATCTCTAGAATAGTTTTATTTTTATTAAAAAATAAAAATTAATTCATCAGATATATAATTAAACTCAATTGAATAAGTATGATAATGAAAGATAAAGAATATATAAACATTAATAATGAAAAACTTTTTCAAAGAAATTATTTAAGTTTAATATAGAAAAATAAAAATTATACCTTATAATAGTTTTAATCCAATTGCTTCTCACTATTTAACTTGTTTTTCTTACAGAAAGTACAAAAACATTTAAATAATTTCTAAATTATACTATAAAAGAAGTTTTAATTTTTGATTTGAAATCTAATTAAGATACAATTTATTTTGATTTTATTCATATTGAAATTAAAACTTTCATTAAGGTTTTATTTTATATAATGTATCTTGTATAATTTAGGAAATCTTATGAAACCTTACAGTCTTCAAAGGATCATGATATTCAGCAATTGAATGAACAAATTCAAAGACTTCAAACTCAGCTATCAAATTCTTTACAAATTCAACAAGAACAAAAGCAGAAATCTTCTTTAACAATTCAACAACTAGAAGAATCAATCAGTTTATTGAAATCTCAAGTAAGATTTATCATTATGTTATATACTAGGGACTATTGTGATGCAATGAAAGAGAATTCTATTTATAGTTATATTTAATTATTTTTTCTATTTTTATTTATTTATTTTTTTATTTATTAGTACAAGGAGACCCTGTATGTATGGGCTGTCTATAACCAAAATTACAAATTATTGTAATTACCAATACAAAAGAAATAACAATACAGCAATGCATCGCGTGACAATTTAACTGATAGAAAAAAATACAAAAATAACACAAGGTTAATATCATCCAAAACAATAATATCTATATTCTTATAAATAATCTACATGAAAAAGACAAATAAAAAACAGTGGCAGCGAATGGTCGGCGTATACACAATAAAACAAAATAAAAAAGAAAAAACAAAGCAATTACCTGCAAAAAATTAAACAATTATTCAAATTACGCCCAAAAATTACCCAAAAACCATAAATGCTGCCAACTCTCAGACACTAAATCGTTCACTTGAGTAGTCAATTTGCACCTCCTGGTGGTAAGCTTCTGGAAAAGAAATGTTTCATAATTATAACTAAATCAATCATTTAACTTAGTTACAAAGCTATAAATACAATGATATTTATCCCAGTCCTGCAACAACCGTTTGTATGCTTGAACCGAAAGACATGCTTCACCAAAACATTTTTGTCTGACTGCTGTCAGCACCTTACATTCTGTTATTACATGAAAAGCATCAAAATTAACAGTAATATTACAGAATTCACAGTACTCCATACATGGACTTAACATTCTTCTAATCATATTACATCGCACATATAATACTGCTTGTGTAATACAAAAAGGTCTTTCTATATTCAGATAGGTCATCAACCCCCATTCATTAAAAACATCCAAATACCATTTATTATATTTATAATTAACCTCCTTATATTTGAACTCAGTTATATAATTATTTGCCAAACTCATTAAAATACCAGAAATCTCATTTTCATTTAGTATTATTGGATCATTTTGATAACCAAATTTTTGCAATAAAAACACAATTCAATCTCCCCACGCTACTGTTTGAGAGATCAAAAATATTTTAGCGGACTCTGTAAGTTTACTAGAGGACTGTTTACACAACCATTTTAAATTATTTTTTACTATATTAAAATAAAGGGGGACTCTTTGAAACTCCAAATATATAATATATGATGGAATCCATCTCTTTAGAGAATATAAACGCTTAATAAAATTAATTTGCATATTATCATCTCTATCTCTCCAATCAAATCCCCAAATTTGAGATCCATATAACACTACTGATTGAATAAATGCCTCAAATAATTTTAATTTATCTTTCCAACGTACCAATCTAGCAGATACACAAGTTTTAATAATTTTATCAATTCCATATGACACTTTACTGTGAATATACTTTAAATGTTTTAAAAAACGCCCATTAGACTGGAAAACTACACTCAGATACTTATACTCATCAACTACATCTATTTTGCGATTTTGTAAATACCAATTCTCATTATTAGAATGTTTTCCTCCATTTCGAAATACCATTATTTTAGATTTGTCAATATTAACCAACAATTTTAACTCCTGTAATGTGTATCCTAAAAAGTCAATCATTCTCTGTAGACCTATAGGTGAATCTGCCACAACAACCAAATCATCTGCATATGTCAAGATTTTCACCTCCGTTCCCAGAAGCTCAATGCCCACCAAATTAGAGTCATTCAATTTACTTACAAGTGGATATAAATATAAATTGAACAGTATTGGGCTTAATACACAACCCTGTTTCACACCTTTTAATGTAAAAAATAGATCAGTCATACCCTCCTTAGTAGACATGCACGCCTCTGTATTAGTATACAACTGAATCAGAAAATTTACAAATTTATAACTCAACCCAATCTTCAGAAGTTGGCTCCATAAAATATCTCTATCCAACGAATCAAATGCTGCCGTCAAATCAACGAAGAAGGCATAAAATTTACCTCGTTTCTTCTTTAAGGACTTCTGTATTAAGGCATATAAAACAAAAATGTTATCCAATGTCGAAAAACCAGACCGGAAACCAGCCTGGAAATCTGAAAATATTTTAAACTTATTCAACCAAGATATCAAATGCATGCACAAAATTTTACAAAAGACTTTAGAACTTGTTGGTAGTAACAAAATTGCTCTATAATTATCCGGTAAATCTCTAAGTCCCTTTTTAAATATAGGAATAATCTTACATCTGCACCAGTCTAAAGGAATCATCCCTGATTGATAAACCTTATTAAACAGACCTACCATATATCCAATCAGATCTGGGCAATTCTTATATAGTTCCACCGGTATCCCATCAATACCTGGAGCAGTACCATTTTTCATAGTAGCTAGAATCTTTTTGATTTCCTGTTCTGTTATCTCCGTATCCAACAACTCATCCTGCCAATTCATACACCAATTATATACAGACATATCCGGTAAATATTTACTAGAATAAAATTTCTTTGAAAAAAAAGCTACCCAATCAAGATCTGGAAGCTCCCTGTATTTACTCTTAACAAAGAAATTAATGAATCGCCAGAACTGTTTACTATTACCAGACGCCAAATTCTTATTAATCTTCTGCAAAAAAAGTTTTTTCTTAGCTCTACATAAATTGCGAGCCACATTACGTTCTTTAACAAAATTTCCACTCTTTTCTCATCTCATCCTATTCAACTATTTCCACTCTTTGCTCATCTCATCCTATTTCCACTATTTCCACTCTTTGCTCATCTCATCCTATTTCCACTATTTCCACTCTTTGCTCATCTCATCATATTCAACGCTTGATTTCTTCTTTCAATACTCAACTTACAATCCATATCAAACCACATGAAATTGGAAGATCCAACCGGCCTTTGACACCAATCTGAAAATGATGATTTAATTAAATGAATTAAACCATCGAATGTTAATACTATCTGTCTGATTATGAATTGCACACAATAATTCCCTACACTTATAATTTACCTTCTCACTACCTTCTTCCCTCCAAAAAATTCTCTCACTCTTACTCATAGACCTCTTAAATGATTTTCGAATTTCCTTCTTAGATTTACAATCTAAAACTATATCGGAAAATGATTACTATACACTTTATCTAATACAAAAAACCTTGTTGCAATAGATAATCTATTTAACTTAACCAAAGCCAAATCAATTACAGAGGAACCTATATCATCCACATATGTATAATAACCTTAGATGTAGATAAGTCTCTACCGTTCAAAATAATATATCCCGCATCTTCACAGAAATCCAACACCAATTTTCCACACTTATTTATTAATGTATCTTTTGATATCCTTAACAACCAATCCTGATCAAAATCCTCATTACTATCATAAATCCATTCCTGTAATTCTACCCCAATACGAGCATTAAAATCACCAATTACAAAATCTATCTTATAACAATTAACCAATCTAACTATCTCTGTCCAGATAGTATTCCATAATGCAGGTCTTATATACACAAAACAGAAAGAGATTACTATAGACCCTAAAGTCAATTCTACAGCAATCCAATGCCTATCTCTTTCCAGTATATTTACTTTCCAAAAATTAGACAACAACAACAACCAGCTACCAATATAGCGACCTTTATCAGCCTCTCAATAACCTGCCTTCGAAAAAACAGAAAATTTTTCCATATTTTGAAAATCGGGAATAGCAGACCTGCCATCCCACCACATTTCCATTAAAAATATTATATCTTAAGTATACAAAAAATTCCAAAAAGAGATAGGCTTATTTACAATACCTTCACAATTCCATGAAAGTACCGATGTACCTACTCCCAGTCAAGTTGACATTTGTTCTTCCATTTTCTTAGAAACTATATTATATTTATAAATTTTATTATCAACTTTGACCGCATTTCTATTATTTAAATAAGTAATTGAAGCACCCAATCTCTTTTTTTCTCTTGCAAAATCATTCATTATTTTCCTTATCTCTCTAGTTAAAGGAGGAAGGTCATCCATTATAAATATCCTAGTTCCTTTTAATTTAAATGCCACTCTTCTAATCTTACTTTTACCACCATAGTCCAAAAAACTACAGTAAATCAACTTAATACTATCTTTCCGTTGTTGTCCCAATCTATAGCACCACTCTAAACGAACATTATCAACACTTAATTTATTTTGAAAAAATTCCAATACTACATCTTTAACTTGCAAATTATCATCTTCTGACTTAGGTAATCCAGAAATTATTAAATTATTACACCTTAAAAAACACTCAAACTGCTCCTGACTTAATGTAAACTCGGCCATTTTGTTTTCCAAATCTATTCTGTCATCCGATAGAATCTTACCGGTATCATACATAAATTTTTTCTCTAAATCTTCTAATCTAGTTTCTAGATTAACAATAGCTTTGTCCAAATTTTCTACCCAGGAGTAGATTCTATCAATCTTAGCAATCATTCCTTCCAATTTCTTATTTTGCTTTAAATTTAGCTGGATAAGTAACGATATTCCATCCTTAATATCAAATTCTCCCTGCAGTAACTCCAAGATACTTGTCTCCTCCAATGGGTCCGAATGAAAAATCTTAGATCTACTCTCCGACTGACTTACTGGTGAATAGGTCTTCCTTTTAGACATGACGAAACAAACCAGTGAGCTTACCTGCAAAAAATTAAACAATTATTCAAATTACACCCAAAAGCGCTGACCATAAACGCTGCCCTATTTTTTCTATTTAATTTTTATTTCCATTATTTTCAACTAAGTGATATGATTTGTTGCATTTTAAATACAATTTCAATACTTGCTATTTTAATATCTGGTTCAAGTAATATCTAATGCATACAGTATAAAAATGCATAACAAAGACACTGAGAATTGCAATCCACAGACTAATATCATAACTAATGATTTTTAAGAAAAATATTGGAAATCCAAGAATAATGGAAATAATCATATTAATCTTTGTAAATAAATTTTATAATTTTCATAAAAATTTTATGCAAATGAGATATAACATTTCTTGTGTGTAAAATAAAGTTGACATTTATTTTGTTTGACTTGTTTTAACTGAATTGTATGATCAGTTGAGTGACTAGAAATATTGGATTTGATATATTATAAGCTACTAAGTAGTTAATTTAGAATTATTTTATTAGATATTTTTCATTTAAGATGATTAGACCAGATATGCCAGAATTAATTTTTGTTGAATTTTTAAGAAGTTTGTAATAGTGCATAACAGTTTTCTGAACATGATAATTATGGTGAAATATTTTATATATAGTTCATTTTCATAAAGTAAGGTATTATATACAGTAATACCCCGAACTTACGCGATAGGTGGGACCGAGCGATAACCGCGTAAGTCAAATTCGTGTAAGTCGGGGTATAATTTCGCAATTTGTGTAAAATCCAAGTCGGATGTATGTAAGCTAATAAATGCTCTCGTTAATCTTATCTTGTCTTTTGATTTGTTCACGGTTACAAGAAATCACCACATAGAGTCTCTCAAGGCTCCGTAGATATAACAAACACAGAAATAAATAACACAAAATAAATTGTAGCTATGTGTCGATTCCGCGCTACACGTCCAAACATGTAAGCTGAACAATAGTGTGGGGTGGAGTGAGTAATCAAAAGTTGCATGGCGCTCAAACAAAAGACGAATCGACGAGATTTGAAAATCGCGTAACTCCGGGTTCGCGTAAGTCGGGGTAGCGTAAGTCGAGGTATTACTGTATATATAAAAGACATTAGACAAATACAATACAACCAATACTAGGGATCTTAAATGAAAATGTAATACAGTAGAACCTCGATTATCCAGATTAATTGGGGATGAAGGTAGTCCGGATACGGAAAAATTCAGATAATCGAAACAAATACTTTAATTTGTCTTTTAATGATAATACAACACGTTTTCTTTTCGATGACATATTGGTAATATTAAAAATAAATACTGTATTTAAATCGTGATCAAATTTTCAAGAAACAAATGTTTGTATTGAATTTGGACTACTACTGACCAGCGCTAACATACTACCTATTGTTTAAAAGGCCCTCTGGTGGCACAAGAAGATGGATTTTATAAAATAAAAAGCAGTTGAAACTGATTTTTATGAATAAAAATTTGACAAACTATTTATCATTTTATGATGAGTAAAATTTTTTTGTCGCATTCACGGCTTTTAAGTAATGCATAATGCATAAACCTTCGAGGCGCGAGGCCCTTCGGACCATGAGGCATAGGCGGTGGCCCACGTCGTCCATGCCTTATGCTGTTCTTGGTCATAGAAATGATGTAATTTGAATATAAATTATTTATAAATACGTATGTCAAGTTATATTTTTATTACGACGTAAAATATATTTAAGAGTTTACAACCAGTGCTGGGTGAGACGCTGTTGAAACAAAAAAAGTTATGCATTCCGTCACGTACATAAACAGTGTCGTAATTCGCCAAGTGCAAATCAGCAAATTCGTAAAATTTTTGTTTATTTTGAACAATCCAGATAATCAAAAATCTGGATAATAGAGGTCCGGATAATCGAGGTTCTACTGTAATTTAAAAAAATTAGTATTTTATTCATTTATAAGTGAAAAGTAATATGCTAGCAGTACGAATTTAAAAGATATGGTTTTGTATTGTAAGTAACATAGCTCAACATCACAATTTGCACATCATGTGCATGTTATATAACATTGCCAACATATAGTTTGATTCTCTTAGGCACCAACAAAATGATTTAAAATAATTGAATCTTGAGTATATTTTTTCATTTTTGCTGGGCAACCAGCTTATGAAATACATTCCTTATCACAAGTTGGGAATCCTGCAAATTGCATGTAAGTCTTTTGAAAGCTAAGTGGTCTAGCTTTCCATCATAAACTTCATGTAACTGCCAAGCATTCTACTATGCATTACTGATGCATTGCATAACAGAATGCTTGGTGCTTCATTACTTACTATAGTAAGGAACCATTTCTTTCCACTTATTGTAACATGATGGAACCTTATGTTTTGTCCATATCTCTCACTGCCACTCATATTTGAAGTTTTTTTTTGAGAATATTTATTTATTTACAACACTATTATTATTTTTATAATAATAATAGTGTTGTAAATTATTATTTTTTTTTTTTATAAAAATAAAAGGAACAGCAAAAGTTTTATTCATGCTTTGCTTATTGTCTAGATATGTGGTGTATGTTAGGCAAAAGTTAGCACATTATCTTTGCCTAATTCTATATATTGGACACCTTTTAAAAAACTGCAATTTTGGAAAATATGAACTCCAGCTTGCTTTCATATACCAAGAAGTTTTGTAATTTTTAAAAATAATACAAGGAAATAAATAAATAATAAAATAAATAAGACATAATGTAATCACATTTTTATCTTTGAGAGGCGAAGTTGAAAACATTTTTCATAATATGGTTTTATAAACACTTGTAATATATTTCAATTTCTTTACTACTTGATTTATATTTATTGTACCTATGAAGTATGTTGATTTTTCTTAGAAACAAGGATATCTAATGCTAATGATCTTAAATTTAACAACAGTAAATATGTTCTACATATAGGATACCATGCATTTCTTAGTATAATAATTGTGACTGATTACAGTTTTTTAGATTTTTGTTTTTTTCTAATTCTAGTTTTGTACTTAATTAATAATTATATAAAAATTTCAATATTTGCAATTAATTACCATATTTGTTGTCTTATAAGACACTACAGTGTGAAACATGAATCTTAATTTTGGAAAGGTAAATTTTAGAATGTAATTTTTAAAAGTATTTTCTAAAATACTTTTAAAAAAATTTACTATTATTGAATTTTAAATTTCCATTGGATTAAAAAAATTCAAAAAGCCAGTAAAGAAAGATATAGGATATTACTCTTATTATTTCAGTATTATTTAACTTCAGATTCAATACTGCTATAATCATTATCATCTTCACTGTCACTATTATACAGTAAACTTCAGTATCATATATTGCCTTACTTATATCATATTTTTGAAAGGACTTGACCACAATTTCAGTCTTCCCACTTGCCAATTTTTCAGTTTTGTTTAGTCTTTATCTTATGAATATTCACTGTAAAAGTGTACTTACATAATAATAATAATTTTTTCAGTACATCTGTTAAAAATTCTCTTATCAAATTTTTTTAATAATTTATTGAAAGATTATTAGTTTATGATGACATATTTTCTAAAGATTTATCCAAAGTTTTTGATTCTATTAAGTATATATTTACAAATATTATAATATTAAATAATAATTTCAGGATTCATGTGACTAATATTCTTTCTAGCAAAAAATTTACCCTATAAATTATGAAAATTTTGTTTAATATTATTTTTTGAAAATTAAGAAACTTTTATTTAAATTATAGATAAGTGAACATAGCAATGAAATAGTAAAACAATTACAAGAAGAGAAACAAGCAATGGAATCAGATTTACTTGCAACTAAAATGTTACTAGAAGATTCACAGAAAGAAGTGCAATTATTAAGTTGTCAATTAGAAGTAAGTATTTATTTCTTTATGATAACAAATTTTAAGAATTAAAAGTGTAACTTGAAATCAAGAAAATCAATCAGTCATTAGGTTTTTTTTTATTTTAATGGGAATCATTGTTTAGGATGAATTCTTTATAATCACAATGATATGGCTTTACATAAATAAATTTCTAAAAAAAATTAAAAATATAAGCTGTAATGAAAAATAATCACTAAAATTTGTATTACATTTTTATAGTTAATAAATAAAAATAATAATAAAATGTTATACACTTTTCAAACCAAATATAGCAAAATACTAATTATTTTACTGCTCAAAATAATTTAGCTTTTTACTGATATTACCAATTGCATGATTCTAAGATTATTTTTTAAAACTTCTTTTACTACATTAGAATTAAAAATAATATGAGTTCCATATTTAACCATTTTTTATTAACAAAGAATAATAGAATTAAGATTTTGCTGAAATATTAAAGTGAAGTATAATGTACTCAATTACTTGATGCAACCATTTTCTTATTTAAAGTTAGTATTATGATTTTCAAATAAAACATTAACATTGTTTTATTTATATGACTTTGTATGACTTCAAATGAAATTTTAAAATTATATTAGAATCTGGCATCTGATAATGTTAAGAATAATAGTATTAAGTTCTTAAAACAGAGTTGCCCAACCATTTAGTGGGGGCAACGCTGTTTTAAGATCAAATGTTTGAGATTATTTGACTTTAACGAGAGTGCTGTTTGAGATACATGCTAATTATAATGTTACTTTTTAAATAAACATTTTCTACATTTAAAGATTGGTTGGTTAGCTGATCGTTTTTTAGTGATAGAACTGTTTTCCATTCTATGTTGCATCATATACTTTCAACTTTTTACAGATCAGTCAAAATTACAACATTACCACTTATTTAATTCATTGATATTAATTGCTTTAAAACAAGAAATTAACATTAAGTGTTCATTAATAATTGCAAAGTAAATTTGATATTTTATTCATGTTATGTAAAAGTTTTGGTGACACAATTTCTTTACATAATTTTGTAATTTGCACTCTGATTATTGTATTATTTTTTATCTTTTTATTTTTTACCTTATCATTACATCAAATAAAATTGAAATGGAATGAAAAATTTCTTTTGAAACAAGAAAATTTTAATCTTGTTGTAATATTTAATGCAGGACTCATATTCATCTTACTTCTGTTACTTTTTTAGTATGAAAGTAGGAAATAGCTTGCCTTTTTAAGAAATTGTCTTACTTTGTCTTTAAATTATGACACAGGATTAATTTTTTTCTAAATGAAACATATGTAATGCACATTTATGGATCTACTATTCCCTTCTACATTTGTATATGTAATGCAAGATCTTGTGTGAATCATTAAAAGGTAAAAATATTTAAATATTTAATTTGAAGAAATTTAAAGTTTATCTGTAAATCTCAACTGTAGTTTTACTAGTATTTAATCAAATCCAAATGAAAATTGTGAGGGAAAAATTTTTACTTTAGATTTTTCTAAGCTGTTGCACCAATTTTACATTAAATTAGGAAAAAAACGTTTACTGATATTTAATTAACAGCAATAATTTCAGGATCAATATATTCAATAAATTTTCTGGTTTTATTTGTATTAAAGTACATTGATTTTGTATATACTTGTAGCTCTCAATAAAAACGGAAAATTTACTGAGTTTATTATTATAATTTTAATTTACAGAAAATCCTATTCTAATATTTCTTGGTTTAAATTTCACCCTGATTATACATTCATTTGTAGTAGCCTAATGATGCTCCATAAAAACAATTAAACTTAGGCTTCAATTTAGCATTTTTTGATTTGACATTAAACTTCAATCTTAAGGCATCAGACATCCAAAGGTGATTTCAATTTAACATTATAAGATAGAAGATACAAGTATAATTTTTGGATTTCAAATTTTCAAACATTTTGCAGCTCTCTTTATTTTTCAAGAGTAAATGCTTGCTTACTCACAGGGTATAATCTGCAAATCTATTCCTTTTTTGTAATTTCAACTTATTGATATTCAGTGTTTCAAAAAAAAAGTGCAGAACAGAAACATAGAAAAAATGAATAATTGGCTGCCGAGAGAGAGAAAAGGAAAAGGTGTCAGCCAAGAATACTTGGAGAATGACTTAGAGAAAATCTAAAACTATTTGGTTTAGATTGATACAGTGCAGAAAATGTGGAGACTGATGAAGGCCATTTGAAAGAACTTGCTATTCAATGTGTACAAATGCACAAGTGAATTGAAAAAGTGAAAAACTGAAAGTTCTGTTTTTTCTTTGGATTATTCTTGAAATGAAATTTAAATTCCTGAAATAAATTAACAAATATATAAATATATTTTAAAATGTTTAAATAAATATACAAATTATTTCTTATTTGTTGAATGTTGCCTTTCCATGTATTTTTCTTTCTTCACAATTATCATAACTGTAAATCATTCACAAACCTTGGACTTAAAGCAGCAGTTCTTTTATTGACTTTCTTGTTTATTTCTTATATCATAAGGCACAATATACATTTTGGGTCTATTTGACTCCTCTTCAAACACTGTAATATATAATGTTTTTATGATCATTTAATAAAATTATTATTTTCTAAACTGGCAATTTTTTATTATTTATAATTCTATTTCACATTTATTTTAACATTTTACGTATTATCAATCAATGTTACAAGTATAAAGTATAATTTTATTTATACTATCAATATTACTATTATAATTAAATATTAAACTATTTAAACAGCTATTTTCTTAATTATTAAATATTATTATAAAAGTAAATTTGTTATGTGCAAATCTAAATTTCACTTGTAATATAAAAATATAAGTTTTTTAAAAATTATTTAAAAACTTACTTAAAATCAACTTAAGCCAAACCTTGCAATTTTATGAGTTTGTATACTTGTATATAGTGTGTGATGTAAATTTCAAAGTTACCTTTAAAGATTTGTTATGCCATTAAGACTGTAATAAATAAACAGTTTTTACAAACAACCCCAATACTTAAACTATTTTATTCATTTATTTGAAACAATTTTCAATTTATCTAAAATATTTTTCCTGATTTTCTTTTATATTATTATTTGCTGTTTATATACTTTTCTTTTTAACATAATTTATTTCTTAAAAAAACCTAAATGTAATTATATTCTGTAACATTTTTTTCACGATATGAAAATAAATAAATAAATAAATAATTTTTTTTTATATTTGAAGTGTGCAATGCCATAATGTTGTAAATGCCAAAAAAACAAATTTACAAATGCTTTGTTTAGTATTTTGAATATTAAATCCATTGAATATTTTATTTCAATATCATTATTATATAAATATTTGGTTTTTTTTCTTAGGAATCTCAAAATCAGTCACAACAATTAGAGAATGATCTCAAGCAAATGACCATAGAAAAGAAATCAGCAGAATATACAGTTGCTGAAGCCACTAAAGTAAGATTTTATAATAATTTTATTTATGAAGTAATATTACAAGTTAACTTACAAGTACTTAACTTATAAAACAAAAATTTGATATAATGAATTGTTTTCTTTTATCCCTCTTCCCAGCTTTTGAGATAAAATACTTGATATGACAATCAATATTTATAAGAACAAAATATTTGAATCATGAATAGAAAAAGATTGAAATTTTCATATACTATGATTAGATGATTTGTATGTTTTCTTTGTTCAATTTACACTGTGTTTCATTCATTGAGGGTTTTACAGTTTTGTGAATTTTATCTCTGCATTATAAATTATCTGTAGGCAACACAATTAATTTAACTAAAAAACACTTTTATTTTCTCTGTTTTACCCATTTCCTATTTACTTATTTTCTTAACTTACTATTGTTTTTCTTACCATTAAATAAAGAAATTTTTAATAACTTTGTGTCTCTCATCTTTGTGTTCTTATGTTATCTCCTTTTACATCTTTGAACAATCCAATTAAACACTTTCATTTATTTTATTAAATTTTAGTTAGAATCATTGGTTGATAAGTAAGTAGCTGTTTTGTAATACTTTAATCTTATTTGGATAACATAGATAGGTCACTGTGTTATTATTCTGATCACTTTTCATCCATTGTCTTCTTTATATGTTTTGTGTTAATGCACTTTTTCTTACTAGATTATGGTGGAATAAGACCCAAATTTCGACCATAAGAAATAATGAAAAAGTTAGTCTCTGTTTATAATAATTTGATTTATGAGAGATTTTCAGAAAAGAGATGTGCTTATAATGAGGTTGTATTGTATTAAAGACTGGAATTCTCATAAATTTCACATAGAACACTAATTTTGTGAAATTAGTGACACAGAAAGATAGCAATTACTACAACTACTATGTCATTCAATTAGCATAGTATGAAGTCAGAAATCATAGAAAGGATTACTACTTCTATCTAATTTTTGGAGTAATGACACAAGATAAAGGCACTAAAACCTGACAGAGCACTGACTGTTGACATTTCTAAGATATTTTCTCAAGGGGAAAAAATTTCTACAAATATATATGTATTTACTTATTTATTAATTATTTTCACTACTTTCTAATGTTTAAAATGAGAATTGAAAAAGCTGGTGAGGTACTTTGTTAAGGAATTAAATTACTATTAGTTATCAAAGATTAAATAAGTGAATCAAAGGTACAATTGAAATTATCTTTTTAAAAATTAAAAGATTCAGATTAATTTAATCTGAATCTACAATTTACAATTTTATACTGTAATAAGCATTGTTATTTTATTACTGTTTAAAATTTTAACTTAGGTTTATTTATATTTAGACACGTTCATTTGAAATAACCCATATAATTTATTTAAACTCTAATTTGGATAATGCTTGAATGAAATATTCTGTCTATTAAAATATTTTCAGCATATAATAATTTTAAAATACTTAACAGGTAGCAGAAAAAAGGAAAGCTCTTCTCGATGAAATGGCTGTACATTTACAAGAAACATCAGATCAACTTACTGAAGAAATTGTCAAACAAAGAGAGCAATATTTATCACAGATAGATGATTTAAAGAAAGAATTGGAATTAGAAAAGGTATAATGAATTTTTATTAAAAATAAATTTTTTTAAAAAACTTATTATATTTTCATGAAAAAAATGTAAACAGTATCCAAAATAAGTTTTTAAACATCTCATAAACATAACAAAAATGAGCAAAAAATAATATCACAGAAAATGGCAAGATATCTCCATGTGTATNTTTTTTAAATTTAGAGTCCATACATGCATTTTAAAAGTTTTATTATAGTTATTTTGTATTTAATATAGTTTAAATATATTAATAATAATAGAACTATATGAGCCAATATGCATTCAGTTAGTTTATTTACAGATAGTATAATGTTATATAAAATTATTTTAAAAGTGTTATTTATATACGAAATTAACAATTGCAAAGTCAAATAATCTACTATATAAAGGTGAAAAACTGGATTCTTTCTTTTTATCACTGTATGCCAAAAATGGCCACTAGGGGCACCCCTACCCATTATTATACAAATACTTTATTGTAATAAGAAAATTCTTGTTACAGGGGGTTAGCTTTAGAGAATTACAAAATACAATTATTACTTATTGAAACATATTTTTTTTAAATATCTTGTTACATAAATTTTGCTAAACATAACATATTAGTCATTCAATCTACATATCATATTTCAAATTCTTTAAAATATGAACAAAAAAGTAATGAATATTATACATCTTTATACAATGGAATTTTTTCTTGATTGGTTCTGAAGTTTTCTTTTTAATTTAAATCAAAAATCTCTTTTAACTTGAATTTACATTACGCTTCTTCGATCTTTGAACACTCAGTAAGAATCTAATAAATGTTTTATAAAAATGATTGTAAAGAACAAGTAGAACTTGCATACCCGCTGGCAGAAGAAGTTTAATAAATTTAGTGGTAATTATATCCATTCCAGGAGCTGTTTTCGTTTTTAATTTACGAATTGATATATCCAGTTCTTCGATAGATATTGGAATATCTAAACTTTCATTGAAAGAAATTTTTTATATCGGCATAAGGAAGACTGTAATTCCTGTAAATCTGTTAATAGAGTTATCCATTTAAAAGAATCTATTTGCATTGATTGATCACAATTGAAACATCGTAATTTCTTAATCGTAAACTTTAAAAGTTCACTGTTTTTATTTTCTAAGATTATTTGTTGAATTTTTTTATAGTAATTTGATTTCTTAGATTTTAATAGATTGAAATACAAATTTTTGGCTTAACGATATTGACTGAATACCGTTGATGTAGATAATTTTTAAACTGAAGTAATGCTTTAATAATTTTCATTCTTAAATTCTTATATCCGGTATAAACTTTCATTATTATTATGTGCTGCAGGCAAGGGACTTAATAATTGAGACTCAACAATACGTAAATCTTGAATAGGAGTGTTTAAATTGATCATATGTCATTGCGGAGTATTCTCAGAAGTAAAATACGGGGTAAAAGAATCCAAGTATACCAGCCCCTCCAACACATAGCTATACGTCAAAGAATAATTGCCCAACAGTATAGTATCACCTCGGAGTTTTGGATATTTACCTGCTTTCCTTAACTCGCTTAAAAAAGGAATTAATTGTTTACGTCTTAATCTAGATCTTTTTATAAGATCCTGTGAAATTTGAGTTTCTTTCCATACGTTCGATAGGTTTTGCTGTTTCATTTTTATAAAACTCGAATATATATAATCTCTTATTTGGGTATTTTTAATAATTAATTTAATTGTTGGATACTGTGATTTAGTTATTGGAATAATCGCTATTAAATCATCCATTGTAACTTCATGTAATTCTAATGATTCATTAATAAGATTAAACACTTCTAGCTTGGTAGGATTAGTTTTACTGGGATATCTATATAACATTATATTATTTCGATGTTGCGCATTAACCATATTGTCCATTCGATATTGCATACTTTCATTTTCTATTTTCAAATTAGCAATTTGTTGTTCAAGATTAATTATTTGGCTATTCATTTTTTGATTCTGGACTTTAGTTTCTTGGATACTATTACGAATCTGGTCCAAATCTTCTTTGATAATAGTCATTTGACTTAATATTCTCGTATTAGAAACATTAATTAATTCAGAAATTTTATTCCATAGTGTTATACTTGATATATCAGATGAATTTTTTCCTGGCGAAGAAGATAAAAAATCATATGGCTCACCTGATAGTTGTGAACTTAGAAGTGTAGTTTCAGGGTTCAAACCTACGTTTGCAGAAGATGGTTCAGGAGAAGTTCTTTCGACGTGTAAATTGTAATCAGTAATTAACCTAGTATTAGTGGTCGAAGCAGTTTCCTTTCTACTAGTTGATTTTGACTTTTGAAGTGGTGGTCTTCCTCTTTTAGTTGGCGAGCGTTGCATATTAATTATGTTGATAAATTTTCCAAACAATTATAATGTTAACACACAGCCCAAACAAATAAAATTCTAACGTAAAATTATTAAACAGGATACATTCTTTACCTGTATTTGAAGTGAGTAAAAAAACGCGCCAGCAGCTTCGGCAGACAGAAGCGCCCCCCATTATTTAAATTAACAATAAATTCAGTATAATATTATTTTTATTTGTAATAGGAATTTATTATTTATACCACGGAATGACACCACTACTTCTAGAATGCCCACTAGAGGGCATCCCAGGCTACTAGAATAGAAGGATTAGAAGTACAAAATAATCTAATAATCTTAATCTTTGTTGTTTTTTGCCTGGGCAATGCTGGGCTCATCTGCTGTTATACAATAACAATAGTAATTTGATATTTAATTAGTTACATGAAAAGATAAATGAAATATAATTTTGTATGTTTTCTCATAAAGATGTAAATAAATACATAATAAATCAAAATTGATTTTATTAGCCAAACAAATATCTAAAAGAACCATTACACCATAGATGTGTAACTTGTGCAGTTACTGAGGACCATGCAGTTACTTTTCTTAATGAAACTTGCTAGGCCTTCAGTGTGCAAACAAAAAGATCTTGCATTTACACATTGCATTTAGCCCTGCAAGATGTGGAACTGGTAATATCCAAAAGCAGATTATTTTTTGGTCGGATTATGCTAATTTTAATTAGTTTAATTATAAAATTTGGCCTAATGGAAGTGGTTAAGTAGTCATCTTGTGCAAAACTTGATAATTAGAAATTAATTTTGATGATGTTAATTAAAATTTTGGAAGAAAAGATCAAACCAGAGTAGTACTGAAACCCTAACAACTGCTTATTTTGCAGATGGTAATACCAAATTGATAGAGGTCTACATAACATAATAGCAATAAATAATTGTTCTGCTATTATGCTATGTAGCCATCTTTCTAACCAATCTTCACTTCCAGATCTACATTAATTTGAATCATATGACCATACAGATTAATTGCAGAAAGCTGACAAAGTAGAAGTTATTAGCTCAAATTCTGCTCCAGGTCAATTTTTCTTTTAGAATTTTCTAAATTAATTAATTAAGTTCAAAATTTATTTGTAATTATTAATCTTAGTACAAGATCTAAGCTTAATCAACCATCTTTAGGTGAAATTAGATAATTTCTTAAAATTAGTTTAATTTTAGTCTAAAAACAGTCCTGTTCTTGTAATCAGTTTGGTAGTGCCTTTGTAACCATGTGTTTGGCACTGTCAAACTGATATAGTCTGATATATCTAATTTAAAGGCACTCTACAGAAGTGAAATGTGTGAGAACTAGATGATAATTAAAGATAAATTAACACAATTTCTATTGCTAAAAGAATTTCAGTACTTGATACAATACAGATTTTGGCAATGTTGTGGGTCAAGTGTCTGAAAAGACCATTGAGAATTGTTTTATAAGGGGTGGTTTTTTTAAAAAAATAGGCACATAGACATCTGAAAATGAAATTGTCTGTTGAAAAGGAGATCATAAACTTTAGAAGATATGTCCTTTAAAAGAAAAGTATAAAAACTAGTTGGCAGTTGACAAGAAAACTCCAGTGTTTGCTAAGATCATTATAAATATGCCATATTGTTACTGCAGAAGGATCTGGAAAATTATCTGATAAAATTAACATGAAGACAGTCTACATCCTCCAACAAATGCTCAGATGCAAGAAGCTCTTTGAGTACATTGTTGTACTGAAAAGTGTAGATGTGTTGAATTTGAAAGTGTTATGAATAAGAACATTTTATTAATGAAATATTGCCAAAAAACAGCAGGCCAAACATAACACTGGATGAATTAAAATAATAATTATTATAATTAATAAACTTAAGTTTAATTATTAAATTTATTTTTAAGCATTTTTAATTGTTTTAACATGTTTTTTTAAACTATCTGATTCAATAAAACTAGAGTTTCCACTAATTGTGATATAATTACTTTTATAATATAATTTAGTTGTTGTTATCAGTATAGACTAGTCCCAAAGTGATACAGTAAGTGGCACTTATTATATTTTCTTTATATTTATATTGCAAATTGATATTATGAAATTTCTTTAATATTTTAGTTTTGTGATTTTTATTATAGAAAATCAAATATTAGTTGATTATATATGCCGTATATTTCCACAGATAAGACGACCTTCAGACAAGACAAGGTTTAAATTTTCATCAAAGTTTTATAGTTTTAGCATATATCTGTCCTATAAGATGACCCCAAACTATCAACAGCCTATGAATTTAGTTTAGATCAGCAATCATCTGCATAATAATACTGTATAGCATATACGGAATTATGTCCTATTCGTAATTTTTCGAATAAACAAATTTTATTTTCTTGCATCTGGAAGCACTGCCTTACAATTGTTGCAAACATTTGCATTGATTCCAGCATTCAGGTAATGACCTTGACTATTCACAAAAACATCATATGGGCTATTCTATTTTGTGGACATACCCTACTCTCTACTAGTAAATAATTATGGTTTGTCCATGTTTTATAATGGTCTTAATTTATATAAATTTTTAATTTTTTTTTTTTTTGTATCTGTCCTATAAGACGACCCCAGATTTTGGGTTTTTTTTTTATGATTCAACTATTGTCTTATCTGCAGAGATAGATGGTAACTTATATTCTAATAAACTTATATTAAAAAATTGATATCAGAATATTATTTAATTTTAGAAAAGTTCACACAGAAAATAGATTGTTTGTGCAAATGATTAATGAAATTTTATTATATTTAGTTTTAATTTTTTGAGTACAATTGTAATATATTTCAACATTATATAGGTTAGATTCTGTTGAAAACAATTAATAAAAATGAATTTTAATTAAGCTACAGTATTTGTTATCTTGAAAGATGAGATGCTTAATCAATTTACACATAATAGTTTATACATTTTTTTATAGAAGTTAACGAAATTTGATGTATAAATGTAGTTATTTAAGATATATCATTGAAATAATAATTTCTTAAAATTAAATAAAAAATTAGCATTTTGTTTTCTATCATATCACTTCAAATTTATACTGATATTTACTGATATACTGAAATTATACTGAAATTTATACTGATATACTGATGAAACAATATAAAAGCTCAATAACAAAGGCAAAAAATTTAATAAATAATTTGATAATGCTATTCTGTAAAGCTAAAATTAAGAATTTGGGAATTCATTTTCAACTCTTTAATTCTATTATCATTAACTTGATGTGTTACGCATCGCCAATCTGGTCTACAGGTAAATTCAATGATTTTGAAAAAATACAAAATACTTTTATTCGTAGAATTTTTCAGTTAGAATATAATATTCCTGGCAGTGCTCTAAGAATGGAACTAAGTAGATATAAATTAAATACCATATTAATAAAAAGGTATATAAAATTTCTACAAAAAATTAAGAATGCTGAAGATTTAACAACAAAATTACTGAACGTATTATATCAAAAATCAAAGATCACAGATTTAAAACGAAATTGGATGGTATAACTATCGAAGATATTTAACACATACGGATTTTCGATGAGACTATTTATGGAACAATCATACATCAGTGAACAGCAAAATAATTTATTAATACAGAGAGTAATGGAAAACTCTATTGTCCAAGATTTCGATGACATACAGAAACGAAATAATACAAGTTGGTATAAAATAATTTTAAATTATCCATCAAATAATAGTTATATGCTGACAAATCTTGCATTTAATGTAAAAAAAATTTTTATACAGTTAAGACTAAACAAAAACTGGATAATTATAAATGATAAATTCCTAGACTACTCTCAGACTAAATGCCCAAGTTGCAGTAAGACATTATCAAAATTTCATATTCTTTGTGAAAATTGCAACAGAAATGAGAACATTCAAAATTCTGATATTGGTAGATTAGTTAACTGCTCTAATGAAATGGATATGTATAAGTTACTTGACAAAGCAAACATAAATACTATCTATAAGTTATATAACTGTACAAAGCAACTTGTGAATAAAAATGTAGAGTAAATTAGTAAATGTATGTACTACATATTAGATAACTAATGTTAATTATCTATATGAAAAAGGTTCTAATGATGGCGGATGAATATGCTGTATAAATAAAGCATGTCCTTGTAACAGGCAAAAGCCTTATACGATAAATAAATTTTGATTGATTGATGATACTGATATTTTATCTATATTTTATAAAAATTTAACTTTTCCAAATATATATTTATATCTATGATATTTTTTCACATATTTCTATATATTTGCTTGATTTCTCAGATGTTAAAAGTTTTGTCAATAACAATTTTATTCTAATTTAGGAAAAATCTTCAAAGTTAGATTACTATAAATCATTAGTAAAAGACTTGGAATTAAAATTAGAAACTGCTGAAGATAAAAAAACTATTCTAGAGCAAAAATTAACACAATTAGAAAAAAGTCTTGACGATGCAAAATCTCATCATCAAGCTACTCTTAATAAATCAGTTCAGGAACATAATGAGAAACTTTCCAAACTTTCTACTGAAATGGAAGCAGCATTAAAAGTAAGTTCAGTTAGTAGTAATATGCATTTTGATATATTAAACTTAATTGTTTTAGTTTTTTAAATTTAATGTTTTAATAATACATTCTTTAAACTCTGAAATCTTAATTTATATATGTACAAGTATCTGCCATATTTAAAGTAGTTTTTGTTTATCAAGTTAGATATACAACACTTCAATGCCAATATAAATTATCTGATATATTTATATTGTTAAAATTTAAAAGATTAAAATAAAAATGTTAATTGGTAAATTATCTTAAGCTTATATAACTGTCATATTTAAAAATATATATATTTATTTAAATATATAAAATTACTTGTCCTGACTGACTGACTGAATGTTCGTCATTGCCCAGAGCAAACTGCTGAACCTAAAGAGATGAAATTTGGTACACAGTTAGGGTACATCATGAAAACGCACACTAAGAAGGGATTTTTCAAAATTCCCCCACAGAGGAGAGGGAGAGGATAAGGCTTAACCTGAAGAACGGTTTCTACTGTACTATTTTAGATGCAATTTTTTGTTTTCAACTGTGTTTAGTCTTCATTGAGTATTTAGGTGTATTAAATTTATAACATTTCAGACATTGTTATAAACATTTTTATATATTTTGATTTTTTAACCAAATGTTCAAACCATTTTAAATTCAAATTTGTTATTGCAAATTGGTTCGATTACAGAATGATTGTAAACATTCCAGAAAATTGATCAAATTGAAAACAGTGTGTTTGATTCTCAGCAATTCTTATCATTCTCAGCGGTAGGTGTTATATAACAATTACTATGGTTGTTGAAATACTGAATATAAATGGGGTTTGCTTGCAAAATCTGTGCAGGCAAAGTTGCAGGTAACAGCTAGTGTAATAATATATCAAAACTTTTAATTGATAGAAAAGGTTCATTTCTCCCATATTAAGTTGCCACATAATATTCTATAACTTAATGTGTAACACAAAACATTGTAAGCTTTTTATATTAACTAAAATCAGTTGTCTATTTTATTTAAGGTTTCATCAGTTACATATATTTGAACAGAATGAGCAGCACAAACTTTAAAATGTTCTGAAAAAAAAAATTTTTTTTGAATGCAACTTTTACGTTTGAAAAATGTTCTGTTTAAATATTTTAAATAAAAATATACAAAAATATATTATAACAAATGCAACTTTTATTAGATCCAAACTGAAGACAATCAAGTAATTAGAGAAGCACTAACCTTTATCTTCAGTTGTTGTACATTAACTTCAAAATGTTTTTGGTCTTTTTAAGGTCATTATCAGTGAAATTTTTGTAAGATGCACAATGAAACATACACAACCGATATGCTGGAACAAGTATTTGAATATCCAGCATTCTATTGTCATATTCTTTTGAAGGTTCAAAGTCAAATTAGTAAAAACAAATACTTTCAATATCAAACAAAAACTATTAAATTCAGAGTTAAAATTCACAATTGGAGAAACAAATATAATAATCAAAATATTTGGTGAAAATTGTTTGTTTTTTCAATTTTGAATTTGAACTTTAGACTTAATAGTTTTTATTAGATATTGTCCATTGAAATTATTTAGTTTTAAAAGTTTGAATTTGAACCTTTAAAAGAATATCACTGACAATGGAACAACGGAAATTCAAATATCTGTTCCATTATATTGGTAGTATTGTGTATGTTTTGTTGTATTTTTTTTGTTTTTAAATTTTCACTAATGATGGTGTTAAGAAGGCCAAAAATGTTTTGAAGTTGACATATAACAACTGAGAATAAAGCTACTGCTACTGCTACTTTGATAATGAATATAATAATAACTATAATAAAATATATAAATAAATAACAAAAATTTAAATATTTTAATTTTCTTATTTGTAAAATAGCAATAAAACGTGTTATGTACAGTAAATATATATAAGCAGAATTCATAGTTGCATATAATTAGTTTTCCATATAAAAGTATCCATTTTACAGTCTACAATGAAAAAAAGATTAAAAAAAGGATTGAACTGGTTTATAGGACTGTTTTGGAGGTTAATTTTAGCAGGATTAATGTATATGTGTTGTCCAAACTGATTATCAAGGAAATCTCATTCTTGATGATTGAAAATTGTGATGTATAAACAAATCTGCCAAATTAGTGAAACTTCTTTTTGCTGAAATATCCCATTTGTGCTGAGTAATTTTGCATTAGAAGATGCCTAATATAATATAACATCTCATTGTTGGAATAGATGGGAATTTTATACATGCTAGAAAAATCCAGTGTGTTCTTGTGTCATGGTCAGATGTCAAGAAGGTTCTATGGGAGTAAACTAGAAGGGGTAGCAATCTAGTCAGATGCAAAATTCAATATTTGACAGGGCCTTGAAAAATTATACTTAATCAATCAGAAGTTGGCTACTGTAATTAACTTCTTTAGAAAAACTTATAAACAATGTATAGAAAGGAATAATTTAAAACCACAGATTAATGTGCTAAGAGAAAAATTTTCAATAGTAAAGGTTACTTCTGAAAATTATAGAAGAGATAATTGAAAACAAATGGTAAAAAACAAAGGGAACAAATTTACTTGTTTCTCAAATTTTTTGAAAATGTTTGAAGATCTGTTATTGTTTTGAGATTGCTGAGAATGAGAAGTTGATCCTCTCAAACCCTGGATCTCTGTTTTGAAAATTAAAAGAAAATGTCTCTTTTATTTAAGGTGTTTTTATGTTTTACCTGGTATATAGGTATATATCAAATATACCTTTAATCAAAAAATCAATTGATTATGAGTTCATTATTAAATATCACTAGCAGATCTTACTAAATGGATAATGTGACAGAGAAATGATTAGTAATATTTCTGTATTTTGTTTTCTATTTATTCAATATTTATCTAACTATATTGATGTGTCTGTTGTTTTTAAAATATCCATAAAAATTACTTTTGTTTCAAGAAAAAGTATATTTCTATAATGTATATAATTTTATAGGATCTGACAAGTCAGCTTGATGTTACTACTGCACAGAAGTCAGAACTTGAAGAGGAAGTAATCAGATTGAAACAAGATGCCAAAGATGTAATAGAAGAAAGAAAAATTCAAGAAAAAAAAGGCTTATCAATGGTAACTGTTTAAAATGATAATATATGAATAACTATGTGAATAATCTCACTTCAACTTAGTTTGTTTAATTGAGATACATAAGGCACACATAGTGCAGTAAGAAATACAAAGTTACATATTGTTATTTTAACAGATTACATCAAAGTAAATTTTTCTTAATTCTTTGCTTATAAAAGTAATGCATTGTATATTTACATATAAGTTCAGATATATTCAAAGTGATCACTCCAAAATCAAATAAATAAATAAATGTAAATGTAAGCACAAACTATTTGCATATTGTCTTAAAAATAGAGAAATAACACATTTGAAAAAATAAATTTAGATTTATCAAAATGGTCCATTTAAAATAAAATACTGTAAATACAGATTTTAGCAATATTCTAGTTTTAGCTGTTGTAAGTCAAGGACTGATATATATGTATATAAATGAGGATGTTTATTATTTGACAGGTTAAAGAATTAAAGCGACAGTTACAAGTTGAGCGTCGACGAGCAGAAAAATTGCAAGAAAGATTACAAGAATTATTAAATGAGTCTCCTCAAAGTAGATGTGGTGAGTTCTTAACTATTAGTTAATGAAATTATACAGGTTATTAAAAAATATATAATTTTGAATGTTGTACTTTTCCTATAAGTGAAAAAGTCAATAATCTTAGTTAGGTCAAATGAATTTTAAAAAATTAAAATAGTGTTCATTTATCTTCTAAATAAATAGATTATATGTTTTGAAACTTATTGAAAATCATTGGAAGTTGTTAATAAATGTAAGAATAAATTAAAGTGATAAAATTAAAATAAGATTAATAATTTACATGGAATTATTTTAATTTTTAATCATAATTCTGTTAAAACTATTTTGTTTTAAACAAGAATATAAAAAAGTTATATATATATATAATGGAAATAAAGAAAAACTTGAATTTCTTTATTTAATAAATAACTTGAACTGCAGTTCAGAATTTTTGGATAATGTTGTATGTTAAATATTTTAATTTAATTTCTAAATTCTCAAGCTCTTAGTATCTAATCAAATTGCTATGATCTTAAATATCATTTAATTATAATATTTTTATTATACACTTTGTTGCAAAACATTTGACATGCATACTTTAAAGCCAATGTGGGATGGTAGTGAAAAAATTCATTATGATATTACAGCGCAAGGATAAATCATTAAAGAAGAGTTTCATCACAAATATTACAAATTAGAAAGTGATAAAACCAATCTCAAAATGAATGCAAACTGACCAATGTCAGAGATGGCTTTACAACTTACTAATATATAATGTTTGTGATGAAATTGTTATTCAATGATGTATCCTTGTGCAAATATTATAATGAATATTTTATATTTTTATTACCATTTCCTGTACAGAATTTGATTACTATTGCATATCAGCTTTAAAGTGTATGTATTTAAGAATGCATAATCAGAACACCAAAATTCAATACTTTGATGCTTAACAAACATTTTTACCATTTTAAATGGTTATCAAGTTGGCTTAGATTCTATGAGAATGAAACATGATGGAATATACAATTTAAAAAATCCAGCAATGAGTGCTTAACTTTTCTGGCAACATTTGGTGATGCCATCTGTTATCATATTTTATTTTGTAAAATTTTTGATATTTTTAACTATTATAAAATGGCAAAAAGCATAATTTTCAGGGTGGGGCTGGGTATTATAAAAAATTGTAAATGCTGATAAGTAGAAAAATTGTCATTAAGTCTGACCCTATGAAGATACACATGACCCCCTTTATCTCCCCATACCCTGGACCTTTAATCACCAAAATTTAATAGCATCAATCCCCTCTAATAAACAAACCTCTCTGCAAAATTTCAGAAATTTTCGATAAAAAGGAATGGTTAAGCTTCAAACAGGGTGAACAAAATCATGCCCCCCTACACATACAGAAATTACCCATGAAATTTTGCATTTCTCAACATTTCAAGGTCCCAAGTCCAAAATGGAAAAATCTTGGGAGGTCATTCTTTTACTGATTGCCATACTTTCCCTCTGTTATATATAACATCCAGGAAAGTAAAAGTAGAACAAGTCATTGAAGAATGCCAATTTACATGATGGCAATAGATGTGTAGGATTAATAGTATTCACTAGACAATGTCAAAAATAGATTTTTATAGATGGACTATGCCTCTTTGAAATTGATGGTAGAGACTTTTCTAGCAGCTTTAAAAATTTCTAATTTTTCCAATTACTTGAGATGGGTCTATTTGTTGGTGTGATGGAGGATGTGTGTCTGATATAAACTTGGATGTTATTACCAGCTGCATGTGTGTGTATTTTTGCAACAGTGTGTGTTTTGTTGATATAGTATAAAATGACAGATTTTTAACTCATTAGAAAGAATATATAACAGATGATGTAAAATTTCTTTTGACATTTAAATCTTTTGTTCTGTTCATACACGTCTGACTGTAATGGTTTCCTCACTGTGCGTTTGTTACATTTCCAATCTTTCTACATCATAATTACTGAGTTTCATTAAAAATTTAATAATCCTGAAACCTTGCCTATAGAAAGCAGCTAAAGCCACAGTTTTAGGTTAGAACTCCAGAATAAAAACCAATAGGAAAGGAACATCATCAAGTATAACATTATTTATGTAACTCTCACTATGCCATCTATACTAGAGTTAACCATTGTCTCTTAGCTTAAAATAAATTTTATAAAAATAAAATTTCTAGTTTTTATGGGAAGCTACTGAATTTCACTATATATTTCTTTTATATTATAGTTACAGTATTTATCAGTAATCAGGTTTTTCATGTATTAGTCATCCTTGTGCACAGGTCATATGTGAATTTTACAAATATAACCTTGTACAGGCTGTGGCCTATAGTTAAGGTATAATTTTTTGTTCTAAATTTCAATCATTCCTCTCTCTGCTGAAAGGTCACAACACTGATTTTTTTTAAACTGTGCAGTTCTATTAAAATAGAACCAATTGACAAAACAAAACAATGATCTATAGCAGAATAAACAAGTTACAATATAATATATATTCATATTACATTGTAACTTGTTTATTCTGCTATAGATTCTGTTAACTTGTGCAATAGTAAGAAGACAGTACATGGCTATTATTGTTTGTTTTTAGCCACATTATATGGCCATCTGTTATATTTTACTTAAATGTATGTTTATTAATAATTGCTTAATATTTCATTTCATCTGTCTCTTGTTTCTCCAGATTATATATTATTTTGGCTCATAGGTTAAAGAATTATCATACAAATATCTAATAAGTGTATTAAAAACACAAGCATTTTATATTAAATATTTTATCCAGAGAGGAGTCATGAAGTATTGAACAATATTTTGTTATATTAGAACAGAAAGTTGGTGAACTTACTAAACTCTACAGTCCTTCAATGTCAATTGTTGCTTGTCAGAATTTTAGGAGATCTACTATTTCTGTTAGCTCTTCATTTTTGTTCCCACATATGTTGGAAAAGGGCAACAGATAGTGTAACTATGCTCAACAAACAAAAATGGGATACCCATTGATGCCCATCTGTAGTTTGATGTTGAAGTTTGTGTTGGTTCCACCATACAAGTGATGCATGAATCTCCACTGATGTTTTGATTTTGATGAATGATTGCTGATTGTCATGTGTGACAGTATTTGTCATCTGCATTGTCCATTTTGACCACCTGCTCCTTCAGAATAATGTCATCTACAGTGCACAAACACAACTGTGCTTGTCTTATCCTTCATTACAACTACACAAAAAATGAGAATGATTGCATCATCAATGTGTGAGTGTTGCCAGATGGTGCATTACTTTTTGACTGACCTGTTTGTAGCATGATTTAAAGATTATTCTTTTATATTAAATTAGTATTGCTATTAACAGAATTTTTTTCTAACTATAAAATAATTTTTATTTTTTATTATAGATGACATACTTCAGTCAGTAGAGTTATCTGATAAACAAAAAGGTGATACCAGTAGTATAAGTTCTTGGAGTCTAATGTCTGGTGGAAATTTAGATAGCAGTAAAGAAAGTGCTGCTGCTTCAGAAATGGTAAAATTTTCTGTAAACTATACAAAATAATTTATCAAAAAAATCATTTATTTTATGTTACTTTTTTCTGCAGCCAAATCACACTTCAGAAAGAAACACTCCTGTACATCTGGAACAGGAAACTAGCAATTTACTGGAGAGAGTTGCAATTTTGCAAGAAGAAAAATGGACTTTAGAAGAAAAGGTATGTAACTTGAACATATGCAAGTTTTTTCTAATTTCAAGTATTGTGTCATACTATGCAACTTGATAGTTGAAACTAAAAATTTGTAATCATAATAAATAAAATTCATAAAACTGGAAATTGTTCAAGAAATAAAAAACATACATAATGCAAAAATGTAATAGCAATTGCCAGACTGTACTTTAGTGCAAAACCATTGCATATAAATTGAAGAAATACTTGTTAATAATAAGATAAGTACATATCCCTGCCACTTCAAGTTGACCTATACTAAATTAAAATAACTTTCTTACTTTGATTTTCTAATATACATAGAAATGATAATGAGTGAATATGAAATATTTTTGAGGAGGTAAGAGCTATCTTTTAATATTACCATTCATAACTTTCATAATTGGCTATGCAGCTATGTTAGAAATTTGAGATAAAGTATATATCAAACAATAAGGCTGGATTAACTATCAGGTTAAATCTGTGGTTCTTAGTCTGTGGTCCATGGACCACTGGTGGTCCCTGAAAGCACCCAAAGTGGTCTGTGAAGTTATCCCAAAATTATTAAATAAATGACGACGAGTTGATGACAATGCACTGGGCTGGGGTATGGTGTGTGGTCAAGAAATATGAAATTGGAAGGCACTAGCAATAAATTTGCATTTGAAGATAAAATCAGTGCGTTTATTGCTAAAATCGATCTATAGATCAGCAAAGTCGAAAGGAAGAATTTTTCTGTGTTTGATACATTGAACCCAATTATTGATTGACAGTGTGCTGAGATTAAAGGAGAAATACAAAAGTACATTACATTCCATTTACAAAGCTTGAAAAATGAATTTAATCACTATTTCCTGACTGCAAGGACAAAGGTATTTGGAAACTGATTTGCAATCCTTTCATAGTCAACATTTCTGAGGTGCCAGATGAAATACAAGAAGAGTTAATTGAAATGCAACACGAAAGTAACTGCAAGAATACATTCCAGACAGGAATTAATCTTAAAGATTTTTGGAGCCAAAAAGCTATTGCTTTCCCTAAAATTCGAGAAATTGCTTTACAGTATCTAACTTTATTTTCAACCACATATTTATGCAAGCAAGGATTCTCAGTGCTTTTGATAATTAAAAAACATCGAAATCGGTTGGATGCCAGTCCCGACATGCATTTGCTTTGAGTAGCACTGAACCAAGAATTCAGCAGTTGGTAAACAGTATGCAGTCACAAAAATCACACTAAAGTAATATAATTAATGTAACACTTTCACAAATAATATAATACTCTTGGTGTTCCAAATAATTTTCTACATGTTTAATTTATAGAATAACCTTATAAGAACCTATATTACTGCTAAACAGCTTGTGGTCCATGGCAAGACAAAAATTTTGATAAATGGTCCCTCATCACTAAAAGGTTAAGAACCAATGGGTTAAATGATTAGCCAAACAGTTAAACCTTCCTTATTGTTTGATTATTAGAATATTTTGGATTTGATTGTTTGAACTCATTACACGACATGGTTTCCTAAATTAATTTCTTAATTGGTATTTAATTCTTTGAAAACCATTCAGCAGACTTGTTTTACTGCAGAATAGTGATTTGTGCTTTTCACTTTAATAAATTATGCACTTCAACAATAAAATAGCTATAATTTGATCTTTATGCATCATGTTAATCTGCATAAAGATTGGATGTACAATCTTTTTTAACACTACTTTGAAATTTTAATAACAGACGATCAACCTTTTTATATCTAATCTCAGAGTTTGTGATTTTTCACTGTTGAAACATCCGAAATTTTTGGTATGTTGAAATGTAATTATTACATTTATCAGCAGAAAATTAATATTATTCATCATGTGATTGCATTTGATGCTTACATATTTTGGATACATATTAATAACATTATTGTCTGAATAGAAGTTATATTTATGAATGCATTTTTGAATGTTAAGTTGTATTTTTTGATAAAAATAATCTAAATATATAAAATTGCTTGTCCTGACTGACTGACTGACTCACTCACTGATTCATCATCGCCCAGAGCAGACCGCTTAACCTAAAGAGGTGAAATTTGGTAGACAGTTAGGGTACATCATGGAAACACACATTAAGAAGGGATTTTTCGAAATTCCTCCGAGGGGGGAGAGGGAGAGGATTAAGGCTTAACTAGAAGAACAGCTTTTACTGCACTATTTTAGATGCAATTTTTTGTTTTTAACTGCGTTTAGTCTTCATTGAGTACTTAGGTGTATTAAATTAATAACATTTCAGACATTGTTATAAATATTTTTATCTATTTCGATTTTAAAAATGTTCAAACCATTTTAGATTTAAATTTGTTATTGCATATTGGTTCGATTATAGAACGATTGTAAATGTTCTGGAAAATTGATCAAATTGAAAATAGTTCGTTTGATTCTCGGCAATTCTCATCATTCTCAGTGGTAGGTGTTATATAACAATTACTATGGTTATTGAAATATTGAATGTAAATGGGGTTTGCTTGCAAAACCTCAGCGGGCGAAGTTGCGGGTAAGTTAGTTAATGATATATTTAAAGCTGATCAATAAAAATAACTTGTTTGTTATATTATTATTAAAATAATAGAATGTTTTATAGTCTAACAGTGCAAATTAAATGTTTTTCTTTATCATTTGTTGTTTTGTCATAATTTATGAAGTTATTAATTTTCATTTGATTTGAATCATTAGCACTGAGATTGCTTTGTGTAGGGATATTTTTATTATGCTTAACATAATCAATGTAAGGTAGATAAATTATTGTTATAATTTTATTTCATTACAAAAACTTTGAAAATAATAAGATTCCTTTTACAAGTTTTATTATTTTTATTGTTAATAAGTTTTAATCTGAATTTTTTGTTCATTAATTTAATTTGGAAATAATTCTATATTCTTAAAATAAGTATAAATTTTACAAGATTTTAGTGAAAAAATATAATTATTGTATTGTTTGTATTAAAAACCCACTTAAATGTTTTTCAAAACAGACTTTTATTAAAACCATTATTTACTGTATTATATATTATTTTTCCTGATTTAAGATAATTCTTTGCAGGAACACATTGGATTATGATTCTGTTTCCTTTTTTATAGAAAAATTTCCACAAATTTAGTTCCCATTCTTGATGTGGCTTTAAATAGATATACAATACATTTAAATCAATACAAAAAATTATTGAAGCAATTAGGAAGAAGGTGATTACCAGTATTTAAAGAAAAACTTGAATTCCATTAGAATGCACTGTTTATTATACAGGTATCTCTCACATGTACAACATGGCATTAATATAACATGGTTTCACTCTAACATGATTTGAGAATTAAGGAAATCCCTTGTACAACATGGTTTGAGAATTGAGGATATTCATGTACAAAATCTCACAATTTTTAAGTGTAAACTCTGTCATTCAAATTTCTTTTATTCAAGCAAGCATGTGTCTTGTCTCAGATTTGCTTGCAGATCCTTAAATATTGAAATTTTCAATGCTGTTTTATGCCCTTACTCCCTTACTGATATAAAAAATGGACCACATATTGATTGGACCACATATAAAAAATGCTTGAATGACTGCTGATTTATTTAAGAAATGGTTTCTAAACTAATTTGTTTCAAGTATAGAAAACTACTTAAAGCAAAAAAATGTGGATTTTGCAATTTTATTAATATTGATAATGTACAAATCCTCCCAAAATCATCTGAATGTTGAAATAATATTCTTACCACTAAATACATCTTCTTTACTTCAGCTGTTAGATCAGGGAATCACAACCACATTTAAAACTCATTATATCAAGTACTCTGCAATGGATTGTGAATAAAATAGATGACAAATCTTCAAATTATTAAAGGCAAGAAAACTGTTCACAATTTTGGACTGTATTAATTTCATATCTTTGTCTGTCATATAAATAAAAGCACCAACATTAAATGCCTGTTGAAAAAATATATGGCTAGAATCAGTTCAAAACTTCAAAGTAATCAATCCAGTAGAAAACACAAACACAAATGGTATCTTAGATTGACCAAATTAATTCAGAGGACAGTAGCACAGATAAAAACTTTGGGGTTCAAAATTTCACCGTAAAAAGCATGCAAGAAAGGATAGACTTGGCCAAACAATTGTAAGTCTACTTTCTAAATTCTTCTACTAAAAGAAGCATAAAGTTTGAGAGAACTTCAGAAATGCATACCTTCATATAAAGAAATTTATAAAGATCCCTTAGGCAAATACAAGAAAATGAAAATATCAATTTTTAAGGTCTTTTTCTGCTCTGATATCAGATTTCGTGAAAAAATGTATAGAAAATTTAAGATGTTGCCTATACTTCTGATCAAAGACATCAAGAATGTTCAGATTGTGATATTTTGTCAAAAACAAAATGCCTTTGTTTTTTGATGTTTAGTAGTGTAGAAGAAAATTAATGTTAATGTGTAATACATTTGATTGTGAGTATTAGATAATTATTGATTATTAATTATTTATTGTTTAATAACCATATTTCTCTTCATAATGAGAAATAGTATAATTTTGTCAACTTTTGGAACTTAATCCTATATTTTGTACTTGTCCTTTGTTTTTATAACACAGATTTGCTTAACATGGCACTTTTTCAAAACTAAGTGTTATACTGGGGGAATAGCTGTATATTAAAATACCAATTACTCTAACATACCATATTGCAGTATAATAAGGATATCCTAAGGTTTGTTAGAAGGTAAATTATAAATGGGTAGTACACCCTGTTAAAGTATCATAAAAAGAGATTTATTAGAACAGTTTTAACTAAGAAATAGAAAAATTGGGGATGGACTTCTAATAGCAACAATACAGTATTATGAATTTGTATGATACTGAGTAACTTTAAATCAAAATTATTTTGAATTTTTCAAATTTAAAGTTTAAAAATATTAATATAAAAATCTGAATATATTTAATTTTATCAGATTAATCATTTAGAAATGAGTAATGCTGCCATGGCTGAAGATTTAATGAAGAAAACATCAATTATCCAATATTATTGCATGGAAGGAAGAGGTGGTGAACCGAGTAAGTATATTATTGTAAATTATATTGAGTTTAAACTATTTCTCTCTGAATCAGAATACTTTTTACTTTACAAGAATTAACATTAATTGTTTACAGGATCAATAGAATTATTTACTTTTATAATTTCTAACTAATTTGTTTGAAAAACACTATATCATATTGATGAAAAGAGATTTTAATTTTAATTTTGAAAAAAATTAATGATGATGAATATGAATATATATATTTCTCATAATATAGATATTTGCTTTGTTTTTTTTTTATTTTCCTGTTATTACTGTGAACTAGTTTATCTGTATAGTATATTATAATTTGAACATAATCAGAGCAGTAGTTATGTACAGTTCAATTATGAATTGTTCTGTGTAACTAAAGAAGCTGTTTCTGTGTTTCTGAATTATATAAAGTCAAAAGAAAATAATATAACGGTAAGTTTCTGTAATTACAATTGGCTGTTGTTGCACTTATTCAATTCATTTTTATAATTTTTATCTTTAATTTTGTCCTGTTGTTTTGTAATGAAGAACTAAAAGTGAATAAAACCTCAAAATATCATTTCATAGTATAACAATCAAGAGAAATAAAAAAATCATTTCCAATGAATCTGAAAACAGAGATATTGAATTATTTTAACATCTCTAGTTTAAAGAAAATTACAAAGGAACAAAAACATATATTTTAATAATAATAATAATAATAAACACAACAATTACATTAGTAATACCAAACAATCTGCTGGATTTTTATTGGGCTATATTAAGGTTAATTAATAATCTGAAACAAAGTAATTTCACTGAAGATAGGCAGTTAAGCTGCCATTTCATGATGAATTTAATAATTATAAATAAATTAATTTTTAATTTTAACTTAAAATACTCTGGAAACAAAGTAACTGCTCAGAATAGACTCAAATCTACAACTCCTACTTATTGTGCATTAGAAGTTATTCTACCTTCTAATCTTCACTGTCAGAGTTATTAATTAATTAGATACAAGTAAAGGTCAGATTTTTATTCATGTGAAATCAAAAAATATGCTCATAAATGTGTAAAAATACCAGATATATGCATTGCTATATGCACATTAAAATGCCTGAAATATGCATTATGCATGTTAAAAGTGCCAGTAATATACACTGAAATTTGTAGATTGAATTGAATATGTACTTTATTCCTATTACTAAATTTATTAATTTCTATTACATCACTCTTTTTAGATGAGATAAGATAAAGATATGACAATAGGTGATACAAAGGATTTGAAAATTATGACATCACACAACATTTCTTAATGTTTCCTGTAGGAGGTGCACAGTCAAATTAATTACAAATAAAAGTACACATGAGTAAAATTTTATAACTTTATACACTAGCTAATTGATCATTATTGAATTTATTTCTGTATACGCAATTGTTTATGCAAAAGATATCAATATTTGAGGAAGATCATATTAACCTAGTTTCTCTCATCTTAAAATTACATACATTACTGATCTAAAATAGTTATACATTTTTGTATAGTCCTGAATAATTGATGAGAAATGAGCAAAAAGTGTATTGTTATTAACTAATAAATTTAATGTTGAAGTTGATAGTAGTGTTTGGTCTCCAACTGATATTGTGAACTAAGTTAGTTTTAATATAATTGCTGTTTTGTCTTATTCTGATGCTTCATATTGTACTGATGTAAGGATGTTTCAAATTGCTGAGACACTTGAAGCCATTTTTTAGAAGGAAATGATTTGTGACATACATTACAATAAAGAATTTTTCTATCTGTTTTTAGATATTTATGATCTAAATTCCTGTATATACTTTCTTAGCAATTCAGCATTAGTTTTTGCTGTTTTGCCATACTGTTTGTTGACTTATACTCAATATAACAAAATCTTTTTTGCACATGTTTCATATGCAGAAGTTTGACTATTTTAATTAAATATAAGGGAAACAATTTTTTATTAATAAATGTTACATTTACACAATTTTTTGAAAGATTTAAACTTTCAAAAACAATTTTTTATTAATAAATGTTACATTTACACAATTTTTTGAAAGATTTAAACTTTCAAAAACATTATTAAATTGATAAATATAACATTTACAATAATTTTAATTCAATTCATTTGTAGGATTTTAACAATTTGAAAAATGAGGGATTTTCTTGATAATGCAAAGACATGTTCATTTGTTTGACTTTAAAAGAATGTTAGTTCAAATTTAAAATGTTTGAATTTTGTTTGCTCATCTGTAATTGCTTGGCATAGTGATATTTCTGATGTGAACTGTATAGCAGAAATGGACTACACATCATTTGAAAAAAATGGCACTTGTAATTGTGCAAACAAGCTATAAAGTTTATAAAAACTTATTGACTCTTGAAAATGGTCAAATCTGCAAAATATACAGTAAAAATCATAAATGCATATTTTATATGCACTTTTAAAAATACATATGAAAAATGTGCAAAGTCAAACAATGTTAATTGATCCACTTGAATTCAAATTGTGTTTATATTGAGGTTTCAATATAACATTTAAGAAAAACATAACACTTGCACACAAATCTGCCCTTAAATATACTTAGGTCATATTCTTTTTTCCAGAATATTCTAAATTAAAATTAATTAATTTATAATTATTAAATTTATCATGAGATGGCAGCTTAACCATCTGCCTGTAATGAAATTACTTTGTTTCAGATTATTAATTAGTCTTAATATAGTCTGATAAAACCAGCAGATTTTTTGTGTAACTTATGTATTGGGTTATATATGTTATATATACAACATTTACAACTAAGCGACACTATGGCACAGAATTAATAACACACACAAAAATTTATTTCAAGAAGTATCCACTAAATGTACAGGCTTAGACTTTTTACAGATACCATGAATACCCAAAATGCATACATAACTTGAGAACTCTATACTGCCTAAATACACACATTACCAAAACACATTCAACTAGAAATAACATTTACAGACATACATAAATTAGTCTTTTCTGTGCAATCACTGCAGTTACATACCATGGTCTTAAACTACAATCACCATCAGACACTATCAAAACAGATAAATCATAAGCCTGTCTGACAAACTAGAAACACAAATATATATTCAGGAAAACTAAAATACACACATAGCACAAACAACACATGTACTTTACAAGAATACATGGACACACTCAAATAAAAACTAGCAGCCAAGTTCCACAGCTGGAACAATACAAAACCTATACACTACAAAAATAACAAAATAAATTATTCATAAACAATGAGGCACATTTCTACAGAGAACTGTATACCAAACCACTGTATAATCATAGCACAATGACACACCAACAGAAAAACAACTCAATCTGATCTGGTCTTATGAAGCAAGCTGGATCAAAATGGAAAAAGAAAACATGCACTAGACACCAATCATACTATCTTGAAAATACTTATTTTATTTATTTATTATTGGCTTAGTGTGAGAGTCCCCAATAAAGAACCCATAATGATGCTTATATACATACTCCATATTATTCCCATATATCAATCTTTTATCATATAGCCGAAAACTTGAAACTAATAGAACCCATGTTGCATACAGATTATGCTACTATTAAAAGTATCTGCAAATGAATTCTATATACAAACCAATAACTAATCACTTTTTAATTAACATTTATAACGTGCATCCACATTCTATTTTTTATTACAATCATCATTTTTATAAAATCCTTTTTATTCATGTGTTTTCAATTCTTTTAAATGTTTGTCTTGTGTAATTTATTTTTTATCTTTTAATGGTAGAAATAACAATCAACATTAGCAAACAAAGTTTTAAATATAACTAGTTATGTATATATTATTATTTTTATAACTTTATACATATTTAATTTTAATTTTTTTTGTTTTATCATAATTATTGTTGAATTATTTGTATAGTTTTTAATGTGGGTATAATTATTAAAATAGGAGTGGAAATCAATTGTCAATGGACATTTCTTTAATTGTACAATAAATAAAGAAATAAACACACATGACATTTGACATGGAGTACAAAGAATACACAGTTGGAAAATATTTGGTGCAGAAAACATTCATAATTTTTGGTACAAAAGCTAAACCACGATATAGCTAAACATTTTACACCCACAACAAACAACTTACAAGATATGCCAAAGCATCTTACACAGACATCACACACGAAATATAAAAACAATGACAAAAACCATACATAATACAGATCAATCATGCCTTCCTGTGCTCTAAAAATATTCAATGTAGGTATCATAAAGAAAATATATCACACAGAATAACACAATATTCTCACAGAGCAATAAAAAGGCTATGATAGAAACTATGTGGGATTCAAAGAATAATTACTACTCATAGATTCTGTGACAAGCAAGCAAACAACACAAAAACCTGCACAAAATATCTATATATCAGTGGCATGCCGTCAATGAAAGCTGTGAAAGTGCCACTTCCATTGTATTTTCTAAAATATAAATACATATTGTTTGATTATTTTCATATTTTAACATACTTTGAATTACTTAAAATTAATATTTTATTATACCCACATTACATATTTTATTACAAATTTCTATACATGTGAAAAACAATGATAAGATTGCTATTGTATATATGAATGCATATTCCCAATGGAAGCATTGTATTGTCAAATATGTGAGAGCTTCCATGGCAAAAATATTTGAATCATGTAAAGAGATTATATGCATTTGCACATAATCTCTTTAATCTCTAAGTAAACCAGATTATACACATTCGCGTATGCACTTTACACAGCACCAACCTCTCGCGGTTTAGCTTGTGGATGCTACACACCAAAATATCATATAACACTTCCAATGGTTCTGTCCATTAGCCACTTGTAGGAAGCTATTTGACTAAGTACATTGATTTAAGATTTAAAAAGTAAAGAATATTCAATGTTATTTTTATGTAGATTTCTTTACAAAGCTATATTTAATTATAATTTTCTTTTAA